TAAATTTTGCACTTTTTGAATGTGGTAGGGATAGCGATTATCTCCTTTTACAGTTCGCCAAATTGTTTGTGGTGACACTCCCAATACAGCCGACGCATTCCGAACGCTGGTCTCAGGATGATTGTCAAAATGTTGTAAAATACGATTCCCTGCCTGCAAATCTCTTCGTAACGCTGCTTGAAATCGGTTGTTTTCTTGTCGAATTGAAAATGTTCCAGTCTCTCGCAATCTATTAAATGTCAACATAAACACTCTTCGGTTTGGCACTCTTCTGTTTGGAAATCGTCGTGCATATTCTCGCACCGCCTTTAAAGCATTACCGTTGCAGAAACCGTATACAAAAACCATATCAGCATATTCACTATTAGAATACGTACGCGGCATATTGCAAAAGACAAAATTCATCTACTGTTAAAGGCTTTCAAAGAGCGACTGACAAATTCATAACAGAAAGTGGAAAATGTAATCAAATATGTCGGTGCTAGATATGGCAAGAAATGTAAACATTTTTTTTCGATTTCTCTGAAACGGAGCAAAAACGAGCATATGTCTATAGGACTTTTTTTCTTAGTTTTTTACTCCTCTACACGCTCCCGAAGTTTTGCCATTTAATTTGGAAACACCCTGTATAAGAAAATTTGAGACATTGAATTTCGGGAGTCCTCATTGTGGTTAACATAAGAAAAATTTGAAATATTGTGATTTGATCTTTTTCAAAAAATAAATATATTTAGATATTTGATCATCAAATATAATTCTTACATTTTATTTAGTTTCTAATTTTAGAGATTAATCTACATTTTTAGAGATTGAACTTTTCGAGTTATTAACAATATAACGAGTATCTCGCTATTCCAATTGTCTACTCTAGTGTATGTTAAATGAAAATTAATTTAACATTGAATATCCCCGAGTGTTCCTTTGTATAATTACAATTTAGAGGCGATTATTCATTACACCAATTCGCACGGTTATACTCATTCGTACAATGTAAAGGATTTGTTGTAAGAAACACAATAGTAGAAGATACTCTGTATTTCATGAACACTGATAAGACGCGTACTTATCTTGCAGGTTCAGAGAATGAGGTCAGATGGCTTAACCGAAAGCTCGGGAGGTTATATTTTTGCATGTACCACGGCTACCATTCTTGTCTAGTTATGTAATCTGCCTGAATAATTTCTATTTGAGTAATCTTCTTGTTTACTTAATCCTTCTATTCTCGACAGCTATTCTGTGAAACACGAAATTGCAAACGGATTCATTAGACTCTGCTAATGATACACCGTCGTAACCGAGTTACCTTTGTGCGCGCCCTTTCTATCTCTTTTCTGTCCCTTTTTCCCTTTTTTTTGTTTTGCAAATTACATAGTGATATATTTGCCTCTCGCAGAAATGGCGGTCTATTCCAGAGTTTTTAATTCACACGTGTCTGACGTGAACTGAATTCTCCTCGCGTATGTGGCGTTGCATGTTTAAATGAAACCGATTCTTTGCGCCGTAGTGCTGCGACGGTGTGACAAAAGCCTTTGTATTCATTCCTATACACGATGAACGTTTACGTATCATCATTGATTCGCATTTCTAACATCTGCAACATCTAGACTCTAAGACAAATATTATCGTAAAACTAGAAAACGGCTTATGCAAATAAATACACTTAAAATGCATTGGACAGTAATTGTATACTCGTAGTCTCGTTCTTCGAAAGCATGTAAATTGATTGAAATTCTCATTGTCAGCATCAATCCGTTTGCTTTTGTTTGGTAATCATTTTAAAAGAAAATTATTTGCATCGCATTTATTATCTAAAAGCGTTGCTTATGAAATTGCATAAAATACGCTGTAATTGAAAATACAATGTAACAAAGAATGTGCATGAATTTACTTACGTACTTTAATACCGTTTAGCAATATGCGACTTTTATGTCCCAAAAGAAAAAATAAGTTCTGCAAAAAAATTCACACAAAGTTCCAGAATAATTTATGTGACAGACGTTTATTACACTTTTATCTAGTAGAAGAAACTGAATAGGAAACTGAAAACGAATAGCAGTTGCACAACTTAGTTATATACAGTTTGCTATGAATGTCACGTGATATTTGCATGACATTGATTATTTCTCGATGAGATTACATTTTTATTATAGTTTGCAATTTAAATAGCAGTTAATATTTATGTGATAGATGTTTGTCGTACTTTTAGTAAAGACAAGAAAGAACTGAAAACGAAAGAGATATACAATTTGATTACATAAAATTTGCAACGAACTGTTACGTATTGCATGACATTGTACTGTGTTGTACTGGAATCAGTTGCCTTGTTAAGTAAACGCCGTTTGCACTAACTTGTGTTTAAATGATAAACAAGATTTCGCTATCTATTCGTAGCTCTGAAATTTAATTCTTGAAAATTCTGAACTTCCTTTTATATTCTGCGCATGAAAAGCAAGTAGTCCGAAACTTTCTCTTAAACTTCCAGTTCTAAATTATTACAGAGATAATTACAAAGATTAACTAATGGCAGGCAAGCACAAGAGAAAATTAAAAGTATTTTCATTACATTTAGTTCAGAGAACTCCTTTGACTCTTCGTATAACACATTGTAGAACCATTATTTGTTTAGAGAGCTTGAAATAAATAAAAATTAAAGAGTCTCTCTATATTTTAGAAAATATCGATTTTTTTAAATATTTTTTTTATTTTCAGAAAGTATATTTGGAAAATATTTTAAATTTTATTGAAAAATTGCTAAAGTTTTAAGTTATTGAATAGTGACGTATGATCTTTAATGGTCTGTTTCTGATATAACATAATAGTCATAAAACAGAAATATAAATTTCTCTGAAAGGATCATTATTTATTATTCCTTAAAAAAATTCCTGAAAATCATCAATCTTTGAGGCTAAAGTACAGAATTTTTTTAATGGACGAACTATGATCGATGCATTATTATTCGTTTTGTATAGACATCATTCACGCAACTATAATGTATTTGCGTCCAGAAAAAATATATCACATATTCCATTTTGCATACATGAAATTGATAATATAATACCTATACATAATTTATAGTTTGTATATTCAGAATTTTTTCTGAAAGGCTTATTATTAGTTCTGTTATATAATATTATATAAATAGCAATTTTTCGTGTGAATAAATTGCTTTTTTGAATATTTCAGAGCTTGGAAAGTCTCCTTCTCGTTCTTGATTTTAAAAATAGGAAGAATATTAGGTTTTTTAAATCATAATTTTTTTACCTGAAGAAAGTATAGGCGAAATATGGAATTCTCTCATTAATATCTCAGCGCATATTCAGTTTTTAGCTCAAAAATCGTGAAAAAGTTTTCTTTATACACTTGTCAAAGCTCTAACTAGTCAAACTAACGGAAACTCCAGAAATTACTTACATAGTCGTAATGTGGAGAAAGAAATACTTTATGTGATAACAAAAAATTTACTCAAAGTCAGAAATAAAGTTGTGTTTTTTATAATTAAATATGAAAAATGAATAAAAAGAATTTCGGAGAGTTTTGTTTGGAACTTCCCCTTTATGCATACACCAATGATATAACTAATTTTATTGTTTTACTTTCTGAGAAATACAAATGTATCGTGCTCGCAATAAAATATAAACCTGCAATTTTGAAATCAAATAACAAGAAATACAAGACTCTCAGTTTTTTCAAAATACAATACAAAGATATGAAGGGCACCTAAGAGTGCGAACAATTATAAGCATGTAAAAAGATCAATTATATAATATATTCATTGTATAGATTAAACATTTCAGAACAATATGTATTACTTGCAATTTTGGTAGATTCCAATTATAGTTATGTATAAAATTTTGGTGTCATTTATACATGTACAAGAAATATATATACAATATCAGAAATATTTTATAATATCAAAACGCAGGGAAAAGACATCTGTAATTATAATACATTATGATAATTGACAATATGCAATATGAAATGTAAATATATTTATATCATTTCGATTTATTATTTTATAGATTTGCAGCTCTCGTTGTCGAATCGATGATATTATATGATATTGTTACATTTTGAGAGAATTTATTGCATTTGCATCGCGAACTTTGAACCAAATCCAATACGATTGGTAAACAGTGTTAGCTCCATTTCAATTCGACAATACGACACGTACGAAATTGAGGATTCATCTATCTCCTAATATTAACGGGATCGCGGATGCAAACGACAATAAGCTGCAATGTAGTACGGGAGATAGTGTAATCCCCGTTATCAATACATAATAAACCAAGCGAAGCGTTGGGATACAATTATCGTTTTGTTCGCGTTGATAAAATTTATCGTGTCCTCGCATGCAACAGTGGTATAATTTCCGGGACCCGTGTTAATCCGATTGGACCGGCCCGAAGAAGAGAGACCCAGGCTCATATCCACTTACTATTATCATATCAAGTGCCGTGTAATCTCAAGGTAGAGCCTAGAGTATTCAGACTGCATACTCTAACTTCATGAATTATTTAGCGGTGACTACTGTGGCATGGCGTGAAATCCGTTTAAAGGTTTGGACTAATTTTCATAATTATATTCATCTATTCGATTGAAGATATGAATTAATTAAAGATGCGAACTCGCTGTATTTTACTTTCAACTGCTTTGCAATCTTATTTGATATATTTAGCTCTCTTTGTGGATTACTTGACTTCTCAAATAAGAAATTTAAAATTAAAATGTTTTCATTTCAACTAAAATCAAAATATTCTCGCTGTTTTATATATAACCTTATTTTGATAATATATTGTAATAAACTGTACTTGCGAAAAATTAGATTACCTTCTCAAAAAGTTTTGCCGAAGCAAATTAATATTTCATAAAATTTGTATATTTAATTCGTTAAAATAAATTATTAAAATTTTATAAAGTATTTATTTGCTATATATATCTATAAGTAATTTTTATTATTTTGTTAATTTCTTCTTAATTGTTTTGAGAGCGTTCGCATAATCGCCGGTACTGCAAAGAGATTTATGCACTCAGAGTTAAATATTAATTTACATTTGCATGCAATTTAAGCTGCAGCACCTTATCCATGAGTAGCGCTAGGCTATGAAAGCGGAGACTTGTAGGCTTTCACCTACGTGCAACCGTAGCATTAATACGTAATGTGACGTTCGTACGGTGGCGGTTAAGAATAACGCTGCTCTTCCAAGCCTGTTGGGAACAACGGGTTAATGTCTTTCCTGACACACTCTCTCTCTCTCTCTCTCTCTCTCTCTCTCTATCATCATTCATTTCTAATAGATACAGGAATAGATCCTTTTGATCGCGAACCACCGAGGTTCTCTGGTTACTTTATATATTTAACAAGCGGGATTACACATTCAGGCGCTCGGTCAAAGTCTGAATTTTCCTTCCGTATAGTCGAGACAAGCTCGATTAATTTTCTAAGCCTTCGTCGTCCTTGATGCAGATCATGTGGCAGGTTTTTCGGACAGCGAGCTCATAAACACTTCGTGCTTGGCAGACATTTGTCATACATAGGACAACGTTACGAAGCCCTATTACTAGCGGACTTTGCTTTGCAGATGTGGCAAGATTTGCATGCGACGGCGTAAAGGAAGTATGTTGGTTGCGAGGGGGCTCGAGGGACACGGAGGATCTCGTAAGCGGATGAATTTTAAAACGACTACGCTGGGCGAGCTGCGCTGCTCGTCGCATATTTCGAACGAAAAAATGGGCAAACGGATTTGCCTGACAAACTTGTAATTTTTTTATGATTTTGGTCTAAGCTCCGAGGCTTCTCGACTTTCTAGCATCCACGAAATCCGTGGATTTCCGAAAGCTAGTTTCAAGTATGAATATTATTACGAGAATGCATTTACGACAGTGAAAACGTCGTTATGACAGGCTTGGATAATAAACGTAGATTTTTGAGCCCCCGTAAATTCCAAAAGTTTTCGCTCTGAAATAATGTTAAAAAGAAACAAAGAATACAAAGAATGAATCCATAACTTTTTTAATACTTGTCTCACGTTAAGTTTATGTAGTTGCACTATCTGTTCTGCAGTTTCTTTTTACTTTCAAAAAATTTATTTAATCTTCTTTCATTTGATACCCGCTGAAAAATAACTGAGTTTACATAGTACTTAGTAAAAAGCTTAGACACTGAAAAAATTTTATTAAATTTTAATGAATATTTGTTTAAATAGTACTAACTAAACGTTTACTTGTAATAAATATAAATACTTACTAAAAAAATGATATTTAAATAAAATTAATATTCTTGTACCAAATAAATATACGTTTACATTTGGTAAATATTTAAGTACTATTTAAGCAAGTATTTATTAAAATTTAGTAACTTTTTTCAGTGTACTTATCTAAAAATATACATTTTTACGGTTTTGATCAAATTTTCGTAAGAATTTTGTATTTACATGAATTTTAAAATATATTATCTATCAAACTTATAACATATTTTAGAAAGAATGCTTTCTAAAAAAGAATTAATGTACACAACATGAAATACAACAAATCTAGATGGTAGTTAGTCTCTTCTATGGTACACGAGCAACGGAGATTGCAACGACGACATGATAATTAATCAAAGAAACGATTGGGGTCAGATTCGCGTTACTCGCTCTCGACTACACCATAGTCGATTCTTAATTTAAATTTGCGAAATTTTCTACGATATAATAGAATCGTAACTTGTGTCATCCGCTAATACGAATTAATAAAAATTAAGGCACCACTCTAAAAATTATCAGAAACAGTTTAGAAATGCAAGACGAAGTTTAAATTTTTGATAATTTGATTACAGTGGCAGCAAAGTATAAATGGAATCTACGAGGTGGGATACGCGATATCCTTGGTAGCTCTCTTGCTTTCCTTAGGAATTCTCACGTACTTCCGGTAAGTATAAATTTATTGACGTTGTTATTATCTGTGCTATCTCAACAGGATATTAAAATTTGTATGCGTTCCAGAGTACGTTAATTCAAAAACTTTGAGAATTACTTTTGTAGGTATCTCGCGTTTGAAATACGTCTAAATTAGATCGCTTATGAGAAAAAGTATAACTTTTTAATTTAATGATAAAAGTCGCGGGTTTTTATTATAATAAAAGCCCCGGAAAAAGACTTTTTAAGAATCTCAAAAGATAAAAGGCAAAAAGAAATACATATTATTTGACAATATTAAAAGCACTTAATTTATATTTATTTATAGAGGTATTAAAATGTTATTTTGGGAAGGTCCCAGATGCGCACAAAAAATATCGGACACAGCAGATTGTTCCAATCGGACACAGATTGAAATGGACACATGATCCGAATCGGACACAAGTTAAAACGGATACACGATGATTCCATTCGGATACAAGTTAAACGGGTAAAAATTCTCACATCCCGAATTCCAAATGGGTTTTTAGTGTCTCTAAAAAGACTGTTCTCACACCCCCTGTCTTCATGAGTTAAAAATATTCTAAGCGGACACTGTCCCAGCTGTAACTTCCACGCGGTTAGGATACCCCAAGCGGGTAGGATAGGTTATTTTTTTTTTGTTCAGGGCGGCGTAGCCATCACGAACCTGAACGCTACTGTCCACACACCCCATTGTCTACATGGGTTACAATTTCGCAGTGTGGCAGATTTGCTAATCAATAGTCGTCAACTTTAACGCCTAATATCTCGGTTCGCAGAGCGACGGTTATTTCTGCCAGATTCTTTCGTTTCATGCAAAAACGCGTCGAATAAGTCTAATTTTATTGATTTTCGAGGTGACTGAGGTAGATTGCATCTTTACCCGTTTTAACTTGTGTCCGATTGGGATTGTATCCAATTGGATCCATCGTGTGTCCGTTTCAACCTGTGTCCGATTGGAACTGTATCCGATGGAAGTTGTCGTATGTTCCTTTCAATCTGTGTCCGATTGAGTTTCTGTCTGTGAACAACCTGTGTCCGATATTTTTTGTGCGCATCTGGGACCCTCCCGTTACTTTAGCCATTTATTATATATGTTACAGAATTATTGAAATTGAATGAACTTTAGACATTTCATATCTTATATGTAAATCTTATTATTGAAGGTATATATATACCGGCAGACTATTCACTCTATTCGAGAAACTAGTGCAGCTTAAATAGCGGTTCAATCTAGATGAATGTCATTCACGTACAATTGTTCGGTGAATTTCTAGATCTTTCTTTACTGTCCTTTAACATGAAATTAGAATTTATTGAGAGAAGATTTGAGAGAAGTGCAATTGAGAGAACTTTCTTTTCACACAGATCTCTCAGATGCGCACGGATTACACTGCACATGAATCTATTCACCTCGTTCGCATTCAACAATGCCTTGTGGCTGATTTGGTACAGGTTCATAGTAGCGAATACGGATCTACTACTTAATAATGGCGTATGTATTAAGAATATAAATATAGTAAAAGTCCATGAAAAAAAGATATATAAAGATATATGAAAATAAGGAGCTATGTTTTATTTGTAATTCACGATGCTTATTAAAACAACGGAAATGGTATTTGTGCCATCATTAAAACTTTAAAACTTAATAATATTTTTCTTTTTCAAGCAGTTTAGCTACTTATGAAAAAGAAAAAGAAATACGTTTATAATTTAAACAAATGAAACCATATAATTTATAAAAATTTTTTTAATTGTTTATGTTAGTGAAAAATGAATATGTTAAAAATGTTTATGACGTTAATTATGTATTATTTTACAATTAGTTGAACATACAGAGTAGAATTTATTAAGCTAATTGTGATACAAAGTTAAATGTGGAAAATATTTTTTTATGTAAATATTATATGTTGGTGTGATTAAAAATTGGTTAAAAATGATAACAATTTATTTGATTATATAGATTTATTAAAAAATGAGAATTATTAACATCATCAGAAAATATTGTCGGATTATATTTAAACTTTAAATGGTACAATTACTCTGACTGTTATCAAGCGAATACGACTTGACTAACTTTGAAGAGGTGTTCATGAACTATCATGTGCTTTACAGATACCTTGTCGCGTTCTGCACGTAGTCCTTCATTACTTTCTATTAACAAACTACGCTTGGATGCTCTGCGAAGGTTTCTACCTGCATACGTTGCTAGTGAGTGCATTCACTAGCGAGCATAAATTAGTGAATTGGCTGATGGGACTCGGATGGCCAGTGCCAGCTGTAATCGTCACTTTATATACAGTTTTACGTGCATCCAGCGACGATCCTGCAGACACTGAGCAGTAAGTAACAATTTGTCAATGATCAATTGCACTTGTAAAACAAATTACTTTGCTAGTAGCATTAAGAGAAGCTTTTGTTCACAAAATGGATAAAGAGAAATCAAAATCGGATAAAAGATTCAATCTCAAAGTAGATTAAAAAAGCTTTTATCGTATATAATAGCCAGAAAAAATAAAGTACTATCGCATTTACTTTTTTCTATTTTTCATGACATTAAAATGTGGAAATGGTTAATGCAATATCGTATTTATTAATTCATAAAATTGAAATTAAAAGCTTCATCATTTGTAGTGTATCTTTTGAGATTTAATCAAACATTGTGTATCAGGAAAGAAATGAATAACACATGTGATACGATAATTGATTAACGTATTTTCTCGGTTTTATTTGAGTTCCACGTTTTATGGATAGTAAATACTTCTCACTGTAAATATCCTGAGAAATGCTAAAACAAACATAAGCATTACATACTGATTCCAACAATCAAATCTTAACGTATTACAGTTCTTTTTTAAATTCCATATGTTAAACCCACTTTAGACGTTCTATAATTCGTGTCCCAATTCGGAATAGAATTCTATTTATAATTTTGCGTATCGTGTAACATAGAAAACATTTGAAGAAATAAAATACATACATATAGAAAAAAAAGTATATTACTTTTGATATATGTATTTGCTTTTTTGGTTTTGTTCCTATATTCAAAATATGAATATAGCTCTGCTTCTGAATTTTGCTTCCCTGAAGCAAAACTAATCTGTTTGTTTACATATTTAGGCTGCGAGTTTGGTTTTGGAGTGCCATCCCTACTCCGAACATTTTTTCAATTGATAAGCACGTAGCGCGTGTAAAAATACAATTATGAAAATTAGTATTTTCTCAATTTAGTACAATTTCGCTTTCTGCGTTTCCGATAAACTACGGGGAATGAATGTGTCTACTAATTGAAGTGTTTGGGATTCGTTGAAGGGGACTATTGACCTGTGGTACCTATCGACCACGGAAAGGGTACTAAGGTCTACACTAATTTCTCAGCAAGAACAGCATGCGGTCAGCTGCGTACGTGATGGGAAAATTAGGTATGTCCGCCACCATGAAGTGCGCGGTAGCTAAATGTGCCATGGTAGAAGATCGAAACCACGGTGCGACAATCACATTACCGTTCCATTATATACGACAGCTGAACGAAAACTGTCGACATGACTTGCTGAGAAATCAATGCGCTTATATAAACAAAGTAGTCATTTCCTCCTGCATCCGAAGCAATATCGGGTATAATTGGCAAAATGTTTTAATGATTTAACAAACAAATATGTTAGAATAATATGGTAATAAATTATAATATTTTATTTTTTATATTTTATTTTGACAAAAGTTTTTTATTAAACAAGAAAATTCTGAAAGGAAAATCCCCAAAAAATAATTTGTGTATTAATACAAGTGTATTAGGCAAATTCGTATTTTGTTAGACCGTAATTAAATCATTAAGAAAACAATACACCTAAAACACACCCCTTTTTCTCTCTAAAATCATCTTTCTAAATTTCATATTTAACCTTTTTATGCGAAACCATTTTATACCCGCGAGGAGAGAATCACCTTACACAACTTACTACAGAAACTTTTTTTCTCCGAAAAAAGAAGACTTTCATATAGTGATGCAACATCCCTTATGCATAAATACCATGATCTTCTAAAATATAAATTTTTATATGGAGATCACTATAAGGAAATATGATATGAAATGAGGCAAAAATATTTTCATATCCATCAGGATCATAATAATATATGACGGCTACTTTATATTCCTATTTCTTTCTATATTTTTCAGAAAATTTCAGATAGATAACTTTTATAAAACCTTATATAATGCCCGTATAAATGTTTATCATAGCATTGTTTTTTTGGCAACGCGATTTTTTTAATACGATTAAATAGGATTTTAATTAATTTAATATTACTTCCGTAACTTCTTGAGTTTTCAAAGTTACGATGCGATCAGAAATTGCAAGGCTAATAAAACATAGCTTTAAGTTTTTCTACACTATAGATATACCCGAGAAAATCCCTGAGAATGAATCAGCGCTTTTGAGTACCATTGTTACTTTACTAAAAGCGAGGTCTCGATCACAAAAAAACCATTGTTGGTTTACCCTTTTTGGAGAACAATTCATCGTGTTACATAGCACGCGTTTTACATCGATTTTTTTATTTAGTTCATAGCGCAACTTCCTAACGCACGTAGATATTTTCCTTTGCCGCGGGGTTTCGCAACACGAGTTTTACACGAAAATCTGAAATATAAAGGCTCGAAAATATTTTGAAATTAATAAAAAAATTAGTAAAATTTAATAAACATGCCATATTGCAATTTCGACCATCAAATACTATTTATTGTGCTATAGCTCAATATAAGGTATCTATTACATTATATATTACAATACATTATATATATATATGTTGCTCGACTTAGCTTCCACGAGTTCGAAGATTGAATACGACACGCTACGTTAAAATTTTAAGTACATAACTATGTTAGATAATTGACGCAACGTAGACATTATTTCTCAATCATGTTATTTACTAAAATTAATAGTTTTATGCATATAAATCTTAGATGTACATTTTCGATTTATATATAGAGGAGAAGGTGATATTGTGGCCTCCCTTAATATCTCTGTTATTATATAGCGAATCCTAATGATCACTTATGGAATTATTAATTCAGTAACTCGCCGTTACATCATAACGCTAATATTACCAATACTCAATAACCAGCACTTATTATAATAGCATTTTTACTTTCAAATATTTCGAAACGTTTCTGAGGTACACTTTAGCATTTAATTACACCTACTTCGTATTTTTGAGTGTGTTATTTGTTATTTAACATTTTATTTTACTGTATATGTATATTTTGAGTTATGCAAATTTAAACAATACCATGGCATCTTGCTAATGTGACCCTCTATGAATATTGATTACGCACGATCTCATTTTTGAGATTTTCACATCAAAATAGTTATTTAATAGTCGATTGTAGCTCTACTGTTGATGTACATATAGTTTATATTACGTGTACTATTTTTAGTACTGAGTAGCTTATATACAGAAGTTATGTGAATGTATATACATTCATTTGCATACATTTTAAAATGTTTTACTTTTTTGTTAATTTTGTAACCAAATACTGTTTTTTAAAAACAAAACTAATATTTTAAGGCTATTTTTATGGAAGGCCACATTACTACTCATTTTTTTCTTCGAGTCATTATGCAATGTCGTCACGTTTTTGTTAATAGTATCCTAAGTAATAAATATTTCGTAACTTTGAGCCCAGAATCGATTCAACAACATTTTAACGAATGTAATTGTCAAGTTTTAAACTTAAATATTGATTATTAACAAAGTTATTGTGTAAAATGTAACTGGGGTGCCATAACCTCTCCTCTACACTTTTTGTATTATAATTTTATTTTTTATTTAGAGCTCAGAAATTGAAGTATCTAATTAATTTCTACATTTGAATAATACTGTGTCAATTTCGATTTTATGTCACTTGATTCTACATTTCTGCATATTAAATGATTTTTCATGATGCTCATTGTCAATTATATGATAGCTGTTACCGGTTAATTAAAATTATTATGTAAATTATTACTGTAGAAATACTAAAACTACTTCATTCGAAGACTATTACATGCAGCATATGCTTTAATAACGAAATAACATGAGGATACTCAATCTTTACACCAGATGCCGGAAACATGCTCCGCGTATGTATGTGTACAAATAGCTTTACGAGCGACGCAGATTGAAACATATCGGAACATTGATGAAATAAACGGCTCGATAACGAGCCACATCCACGCCACGTTATAAAGTATCAAATTGATGAAAACAACTTTCATATTGAAAGTAAACGTTGTCGAATCGATCATTATTATGAAAATTTTATGAAACGTTCGCATGTCACGATAATCGTATTTTCTTTAAACCTATTGTGTTAAATAAGAAATAATTTGCATTATTGGTACTGATTAATAATTGACAATTGTTGAGATCGATTGAAATTAACTATTTAAGAAGTTCCTTATCGAGATAAATAATTCAAATTTTGATAAAAATAGAGCCATTTATTATTAGCTTCTTATATATTTGTCGTTCCATGTATATAAGTGACATATTGTTATCGCGAACGTAAGATTTTATTCTTAAATTTCAGTAATCTTAATCTTCTCGTGGTTGTTTTACACAAGATTCGCGTCAGCATCCGCTGCTCTTCGACTTATCCATCTATTTTCGTCGATATATTTCTGCAGTGTACTCTTCCTATTATGTAGGGTAAATATTTTATAACCGGCCGGCGCTAAGGCAATATCTAGCAGCCAGAGATCCTCCAATCTGTTATACGTATCTTCCTCTCAGCTTTCTGTATTTATTAGGAAACTCGTCACGAAGTTATCCCCTTGACACATTTTTCATCATCTTCCTCCCTCTATCAGGTTTGTTAGAATAAGGATTTATATTAAGCGTTTTCTACACACAAATGTGGATATACTTAGGTACACAAGAATTGAGGTACGATTGATCTTCGCACGAACACCATCTTTCTCACTTCCTATTTTCTTATTAATAAAAGTACCAAATATACGTTTATTTCTGACGAGTGACATGCATAATATTTCAACCTGTCGAAGGCAACTTTCAAAACACGACGTGACCACACAAAGCCTCAATGAAAGCAAAAATTATACATACGTTGAATGTATTGTGTAATAAGCTAATAAGCATTTTGTAATCCTCTTGATGGTAGAACGCGCGTCCGAATTTCAACGTTTTAGAAAGAATTGGATGTGTACACAATTTATTACAATATACTTCATTAGAATTCAAAGTATCATTTTCTCGTGTCTTTTTATGTACAACTTTGTAATTAAAAGAAGAGCAGGCAATCAGCGAACAAAAGCGCGCATCAGCTGGTAAATAAGTTAAAAGATTAATAATTAATTACATTAATTATATATGACAAATAAATAACAAATTGTAACGAATTAAATTATTGTTACGATTAGGTGCTGGATCAATGAGGGCAATTATATAAACGTGCTGGTTTATCCCGTATGCGTTTCCACTTTGTTGAATCTACTTTTCCTGTTTAATATCGTACGAGTTCTTCTCATGAAGTTACGTGCCGGTCCCGCCATTGGAACGCGCCCTTCACGATCTATGCTGCAAGCTTTCAGGTAGTTGAATTTTTCACTTTCTGTATGCTGCCTTTCATGTCAAATTGTACATTGACATGACGGCTCAAAAAAGAACGAAACAAAGAGCGTAACGAACGTATTCCTTTCTACAGAAATTTATGAGCATGTACAGTGCAATTTTTGAATCACGATAAATTATTTGCATTATTTTTTATAAACTTGTCAACTTTTACCTAACCATCCAATTAACAGTATTACAGGCTTTTTTCATTAACAAAATAATATAATTTAGTAATTTAAGTAAAATGTTAAGTAATAACTAACAATGAGATTAAGTGCTAATATTATAATTCGTCAAAAATTCGCAAAGAATCTTATAAATACAAACTAATGGCAATAATTATTCATAATACTCGTAATCCATGATCTAATCTATTTGATATCTTGTTGTCAGGGCCACGTTACTTCTAGTACCTCTCTTGGGCCTTCACTATTTAGTAATTCCATTTCGGCCGCCAAAAAATCATCCTTGGGAGAATTTTTACGAGGTCCTTTCAGCAATCACCGCTTCTTTCCAGGTTGGTGATTCTGTATTTTTGCGTATTGCTTTAACATTAAGAACGAAATGAACAAGTAAATTATATATACATGTATAATATAATGAATGCGTCTGGAAATCGTATTGCGCATTGTGACACATGTTTCGAACAGACATCGAATCAGATTGTAAAGCTTCGTGCATCGGAAAGCTTCATGCATTTAATATGCACTTTATCACAGCCTACTCTTTTATACGTTTCAACGCATTCGTCAATGTCAAATTAATTTTGATTATATTGTAGAAATTCTTCACATAACATATAAAATTCTATCTCGTATATAAATAAATTAACAAAGAATTTTGTTAATTTCTCTCGTTAATTTAGAATATTGAAATATGTATAGTATTACAAATATAATCAAATTTGATGAATACAGAATATTTTCAATGATAATTTTTTTAATCTTTCTTGAAAATAATCTTCAGTTTAATATCAAATAGCAAATTATAATTAAAGACAAATGTGTATACACATTTGTGAAATATGACGCAGTCAATCGTTTTTTTAACTATCAGGTTTCCGTTCAGTCAGAAATACGATTTTTGTACGATGGAAAAAATACAAGTATACGCTGATGTATACGAAATATTCAAATGTTGTCGCAATTTAAATTCACCAACTAAGTACTTTGATTTTTTAAATCAATATTTATACTTTTTTCCTCGATGCAAGAGACATAGAGAGACATCCTTCTAGATTCTCATTCGAAGTAGTATGGATATTGAGCAATCAAATTTTGTACGAAATTGCGCTTTCACGCACGATACTGTCAACATGACTACATTGTTATATAATCGCTTTATATCGTATAAAATCGATGGAATTGCTATTTAATTGAACGATTCTGTCGAGTGAATCAGTTATCTCGATATTTGAAAGCCTTCGGGTGTAATCATTTTATATCTGAAAAATACGATTGTTAGAACGCATATATGCGCATCTTAACAACGTCGCATGTAACGAGAAACATTGTAAAAAGTGGTTTATCGATTAACTTCACAATTCCTTTATTACATTTATTCATTTCCTATATGATGTAGGAACGATTTGAAAAACAAAATATAAAAAAATTTGAAAACGCAAATATAAGTTTTTGTAATATATAAATTTATACGTTTCACAAACATTTAGTTTAAATACAGCATCCCTAATTTAATTAATATTTATTTATTTATTTATTGAATTGTAAAAAGATTATCTCCTTGCCTTAAGAACAAAGTAAGGTGGAATTTACCTTATCTGTTGTATAGTAAAAAATATTTTATATATTTAAATTAAAACTGATGAATTTTTTGTGTTAAATTTTCTACACACTTGAGAATTAATTTAATATAATATAATTGTATTATATAGAAATATTTTGTATTAAATTCAACATTTTCTGAATATTCAACATTTCTTAGTATTGTTGTTAGTTTTAGTTTCTTGAGTAAGTAATAATGTCAAAATAATATAAAAATAATTTTAAAAACGTAAATTAATAAATAAATAAAATATACTTGTTAATTTAAAATTTATATATTATGAATATTAATTTTATTAAAGAAATGTGCCTCCACAATTTTTTCCAAATTGTGTCAAAATATTACATTTGCGTGTTAATTTTTTATATAATATTTGTGTTCATGTAACTTTCTGACATATTCATCTCGAGTTAAATTAATATAAAAATTGTGATGGACTTTTAAATAATACAAAAATTTTAGGACATATCAAATTTAACATAAATTTGCTAACTACGTAAATATTACAATCTTCCTTATAACAACAATAACGTAAAATATAATGAAGGAGGGAATTAAAATTTCATAGCTCATTGACGATACGATTTTTGTAAGTTAATCGGAAAACCTCGTATCTCATGCGAAAGAAATCGTAATAAAGTTAACAGGAATTTTCTTTGGAAACGTTTCGAGCTCGATATACCAAGGTAAAATGTAATTTCTCTCTTCCAGGGTCTCTGTGTGGCTGTGCTTTTTTGCTTTTGCAACGGCGAGGTAAGTTCCTATGACTATGGAAACGGTCGTTTTAACCTTCGGAGTAACTTTTGTGCTATGTAATGATATTTTCATTATGTGTGGTACAGGTAATAGCGCAATTCAAGAGAAAGTGGGATGGCAGCGCCTTTTTACGAAAACGAGCCAATTCCTGTACGGCCACAACAGTCTCGGTATGCAGTATTGACGAACAGAGAGTACGGGGTTCTTGCGATTGAATCGATTTAAATGACGCCTAGCTTCCCGCCTCCTTTGCCACGACACCCTTCGAGAAATAAGACTTGAGGAAAGAACCAGGTGGATTAAGAGAGAGAGTGACAGAAAATTCGTTTCGTGGAATTGAATCTCTTATCTACTAAATTGTGGATTAATTCAAGAGCCTGTGGAATCTTTTTATTCCTTCCTATTATTATTATCAGCATACTTTCTATTAGGTATTTTATATTACAAGTGATTATATTAATCTCTTCAATTCATTGTGATAAAATATAGCTACATCATAATTTCTCTTGATGTTTAAGAGGATTCTAAAGTGACAAAATTATCACATTACTCCAATATGGAATGGAAGAAAAAAAGTTCATTATTATATATTTTACGATTCTTATAAAAAATTTAAATAAATGAATTGAATTTTGAACAGAAAAAATTAAGTTGTTTCAAAATATTCGTGACGATTTGGAATTTATAAGAAAATTTATAAGAAGAACGAATTTCTATTAATTTCTGTCAATCCACCTATTCTTTAGTCGCGAGTAGACTTCGTAGACCATTTGGAGATGCCATGATAGTAGAAAATCCTAGAACGTAACTACAACGTAACGTTACCTAATATAAATGGGGGAGAGTAATGGAGAACGCTCTTGCAATTTTAATGCAATTTTAATGCAATTTTAATCTGCGCTTGACGCTCGAGAGAGAAATATTCCCCCGATTGGAAATTCCCGTATGCACGACTCGTCAATGGTGCGATGCGGACTAACACACATGATCGGTCCCTCTCCTGCGACTAATCCACCCGCGTACTAACCCACACGCATACTAACTCACGTGATGTGGAGTGCCGTTTTAATGAGGTGACGCCGCAACGGGCCACTAATCATATACCATCGACGAGAGGGGAAGAAAGAGAGAGAATGAAATGGGGAGGAGAAAAAAGGGAAAAAGAAACATATATAATATATATAATATATATATGATCCGTCCGTATCGTGCCAGTGACAGCAGCGTGCCCGAGTTGAGTCCATTATGGAACGTTGACTGTTTCAGTTTATCCGCTCGACCGCAGGTCCGATGGCGGGAGAGGAGAAGGTGTGACTATCAACCGGCAGCAGCGGTGCCGAGGGACGACGACTGCAATAAGCGATTGGCGAGCGAAGACCAGCAACTGCAGCAGACCGTGCAGGTGATCACCGCGGGCCGGCCGGGCAATCACGGCAACAACAACCATACACGGGTGCTTATCAAACGCGGTGGCGACGGCGACGATTTCTCTCACGACGAGTGCGATCAGACGCAGTGTTGATGATCGGATCGACAACCGGAATGATTAACACCGGGAATGATCGTACTATGGCCACTATGGGACCACGTAGAAAATCACTTTCTCCCTCTCCCTCTCTCTCTCATCCTGGCCTCTTCGCGAGATAGTCGACAAATCGGAGTCGGCGAAATTTATCGATTCGTGATTCACAAATATGTCATTAGTTGAAAATGATAAATCATACAGAGAGATAATGATAATAATAAACAGTATAAAGAAATCAGAAAATTTATATAAGGTAAATGTGTACCACTTAGTGGACATAATCTAATTATTAAACGAAATAACAATAATTTTAAATATTACTCTTTTGATAATATGTACGACACTAAATAAATTCATCCTATTAAAATTTTTATAAACGAATTTATTTAGAATCGTACATATTATTAAATATAATATAATATATTATATTTATGTTATATTAATATTATATTTTTAATATTTAAAATTTGTCATTTTGTCCAATAATTTGGTCATGTCTACTAACTATTCACGAACTAGTATATTTACCTTATAAGCGTAAAGATTTTATTTTCTACGTGTAATATAACTTTTATTATAATATTAGGAAAAATTTCTCTGTCATTATACGTACGATTCTATTTAACATTACAGAAAAAAAAGTAATGTAACAGAGTAATTTAAATTTGCATAGAATATCCGCATGAATCTTTTTATTTTTTTAAACGAAAAAGACACGACCGTATCGCTGCTCCGCTCCACTGCTCAATATTAAACGGAGCTTGGAAAAGATCAAAGATATTTTATAATACTCCTGGAATATAGAGGTCTAAGTCCCAAGAAATTTGCTAGAGATCGAAAAGCTTTAAAAGCTTGATGATGTATTTTCTTAAAAGGAAAAATTTACGATATACTTATCGCAAAGATAAGTACGAATGGAGCGATTTTAACAGCTGTAGTTTTTATTATACGTAACGAGAATCTCGTCTCTCGAAAATAGATAGAAATGTCTATGTTTACAATTTATTCATTTGATGAGGAGGAAACATCATATCAATGATCACACGATTGTCGTTTTTATACTAGCGAGAAATTTGCTATTTGTCCGTGCGTTGTTTAAAGGTAATTTATTAGCGTTAGTGTTTCTTGCCAATCGTTAAATATTAAATGTGAGTAACGCAATCTGTTTGTACATATTTTAATATCTACGTGACGTTATGTAAAGATATCGAGCTACTATATGTTGATATTCATTGTTCGCGAAGCAACCAGAAATAAAAACAAGAAATTCTGTAATTAGAATAAACTGTCAATATGGTATTATACAGACTAGTCTTAATTGTATTATATAGAATAGACCGCATAACTGTAAAAATCACAAGTAAAGCGAATTAAATTTTTGAGAATGAGTTTATAATTTTAAGAAGTGTTTCATAAAGTTTAAAAGAGAATCTCATCAAAGCAATTGCGAAAGAATTTCAAGAATTTCAATTATTTTCAAGAATCAGCGAATCCTGAAAATATATATCTCTAAATTTAAATAATATATTAAACAAAACTCAGGAGTACGTTTAACGTTTCAGACATTTTGGAAATTTTAAACTTTTTTTTTAATAGAAGTGACAATGGCCAAAGTATGTATTTATCTTTTTCATATATGAAATATGATCATGATATCATACAATCGTTTTGTTACGTGTGTATTGTGTATATACTATATGTATATATACTATATGTATATACATAAAATTCTATGTAATGTGTCGATCGTAAGCAATCCCATAAAAAGTAAAATGTGAATATTATATATACAGCCTATATATCTTAATGCTTGCAAGAAATTCACATTTTCACAAATGGTATAAATCTCAAGAAAAATATTTAAAAAATTTAATATATTTTACTTGGAAGGATATAAATAAATAAACTAATCAGCCTAATGTGTGATTATTTTCTCGAACATCACCATTCTTCACGAAGATTAAAATATAATAGTAAAGATAAGATTAGAATACCAAATAATGAATATAATTGAGTGCTTTATAGATAGAAAACTATAATTTTATTGAATATTTAATATGGCACACGAATGAGAAAATCAATATCCTTCATAGACTTGCTTTGTCAAATTAGAGTAGTTTTATTGACGAAAAATAGACATAAGCTCTAAAATTTAACGTGTATATTTCCTCGAAATTTCTTCGCTTTTGATATCGCATTTAAGATGACCGAGTTAGGCACACGTTTCCGGCCTTAAGGCTCTGGACTAGTTTGCTGCAGCTCTATTGAATTATAACATCAGAGGCAAGAAATCAGATGTAATTTCTTCTTACAGCGTACGTCAAAATAAATGAAATATTTTTCCGGGAGAAAATGGGCAATCTTAACTTATTTATTGTTAACTGATACAACGACATTTCATTGTTCGTTTATATTTTAGAAACTTAACTTGCTTTAATAATTTTTAAGTTTATATGTTACATATATTTACGTAATTTGTATCCACCGTTAAACTTTCGCTTTAAAAAAATCGATTCTAAATTCTATTATTCGTAGGAAAAATAGCATTAGAAATTATATGCGATGTATATATGTAATTTTTTATGTACATACATAGTCATCAATTGCGTATGCTTTTACGGGAAAGGAAATATGTTTAGAAAGGATAAAATAAGAAATCCATTTTGCAAAAACACATGGAGAATAATTATTGTAATCTGTGAATTGTGAACAAATATAGAGAATGATAATTTGTGATAAATTATACATGTAATATTCCCTTCGCATGTCTGTATTACACAATATATATGATTCACGCTCCATTCGTGCAGAGCAAAGAAAAGCTTCGGACACGATATTCACATTGATTCCATTTCTGTCTCGTTAATTTTTTTCGTCGCGATTAGAAGTTCTTCCAGACAAAATAATTTTCATGCACGCTTGTGTAAGGCAAATTCATATACAGTCGGGTTGAATATGTAAACAATACATATTCGCACATAAATTATGAGTGTACTTTATTCTTATAATCATTCTATAAACTTAAAATGCAGCAATAGTCGCATTTAGTGGCACTAACTCGTGAACATTAGCAATTGTTATATAAAAAAAGGGATTTTAAACGATATGGAAATACTGGAACGATATACGTATACCTATAAATATTATGGATTTTAAATGAACATACATGTATGTGCGTATGTACTTATACAAACATACATGTATGTACATAGGTATGTACATATATATGTATGTATAATATATACACACTTCTTTAAAATCATAATATTTAAGGATAGTATAAATTTTCATATTTATGATATTTAAATATTTTTCTAAATGACCAACACTCCAATTTTTACCTCTTCTTCCCCCCTCTGCAATATCAAGTAGATCGTTCACATACAATCGTATAATACGGATGGCAAATCAATGGTTTTCCTTCGTAAAGAGTCTAATGTATCTTAGAAATTACTTTGGAATGAATATAATAAATAATAAGGAAAAACAGAGATCGCTGACATGTTAGAAACGCTATTTCTAAAAATTCAACTTTTTTTATCTAATTTTTTGTCAGTACGCGCCTATAAAAATTGCGAGATTAAAAAAATCTCAATCTAAATGATTCTCTCTTCCATTGATATTCAATTCTTAATCGAAAACATTCGACTGAATAATTGAGAAAATCTGCAAGACGGTTAAATTATAATATAATACAAAGCAATTATCATCGCATTAATCTCAACTAATTGTAAATATTTGTACGAGGTACGCTTCTTTTCTTTAATATATAAGTCTTCAGTCACATCTGTATCGTTTGACATACACTCATGCACTCGCTCATGTACAAACACGCTCGCATTACGTAACTGTACAGATTGATCATTTAAAGCTATTATTCACATTAATTCCTTTATTTCTTTCTTCACTTCCATAAAAAATATAGCGAGTGTGCATTATACTTCTTTTTTATTACACTAAGAAAAAGAATCCTGAAAGATGCTAAATCTTGAAGGATGCTAAATCTTGACATAAAATGTATATAGAATTTCTTTATTATAATATATCCGACTTTCTTTATGCATCTAATTCGATTTTAGTACAGTTCTATCATCATTTGCTAATAGAATCAATTTGCACAGCAAAACACAAGAAGTTGATTTGAAAAATTTTAATTGGAGAAATTAGGTATTTGCGTGATCGCGTACAAATGTTACTTTAGAAATAACACGTTTTATTCAACGTTTTTTAATGTTCATTTTAGGCATATTTTTTTTTTAATTAACAGTCTTACTTTCTGTATGCATCTTTTAAATGATTAAAATCGTCATTTTTAAAAAATATTGTACAATTTGAGAAAAAAAATGATTGTAACGTGGTTTGTGTAGATTTTGATCCTCCTAGCATCAATGACAGGACTAAAAATGATCATTAAGTTCATAAATTCGTGACCTATTGTCTAGTGGATGGCATTTCACGTGAATAGTCGGAGCATATTATTGTCAAAAAAGTGTTATACCGATATAAATAAACGATACTTCGTAACGAATCATTGATATCTATTAAATATTGGAAACTAAAAAAAGATACTGTAAATTATAGCTTTTACAATAATCTAAATAACGTCTTATATGTATGTATATATATATATACACACACACACACATATATATATATATATAGTACAATGCTTAATAATTCAAAATTGTATTATTCTTCGAAACGATTGATTAATCGGAAGCTTGCAACATCGCACAAGTTGTGAATGAATGCAAAGTCCCTGGCAGATCAATGAAAACAAAACGTTTTCCATTGGAAATTGTTGCAATTTACTCTTTCTCTTTCTCCCTCTCCTCCCTCTTTCTCACCCTTTTTTACGCAGTTTATTAAAAATCCTCCAAAGCTATAAGCTATAAGCTTATTCTACTATACAATATTCGTTTTTCAAGGTACATATGTATGTAATTTCTTTTTTTATAAGGATCTTAATTTCATATTAATTATCTTACACTTTATTACAGATTTATTATCCTAAATCTTCCTCCGTTTGGCACTCGTGTCCTACTGTTTTTGCACATCACTGTTGTTCTCCTCGATATCATCCTGCATACTATCTTCGTTTTCCGATGTATCCTGAACGTAGGACATACTACCTTGCATCTCATCCGTCTGCATGACGTCGGTTTCGTTTCGCGTTGCATAATCCTCTTCCTCGATCTCATAAGTGTTCTCTGGATAAATATACTGTGCCGCTTCGATATTAGAGTCCTCGTTATCGATATCTAACACGTTTTGTTCTATCAAAATTTGATTACCTTCCGCGTCATTAGTCACCATTAACACAGTTCCGTCCAGATTATGCACCTCATGCACTTGGTTATCTCCATCATCTT